GCAGTCTTTTTGCAGGCTATGACATGCGCCATTTTTGAGAACCGATCAACCACCACAAATACAGAGTCCACTCCCCTTTGTGTTCGGGGCAATCCGAGGACAAAATCCATAGCAAGATCCTGCCAAATATCGTTAGGAACTGGTAATGGCATATATAATCCAGTGTTTTGTACCTGCCCCTTCGAAGTTTGACAAATGTAGCACTTGCGCACAATAGTTCCAACATCACGTTTGAGCTGTGGCCAGTAAAATCTATCCTCCAACAATGCAATTGTTTTGTCACGGCCTAGGTGGCCACTCAACCCTCCACCATGCAAGTCCCGAATGAGCTTCTCCCTTAAAGAAGAAACTGGAATACACAGCTGGTTGCCTTTGAACAAATAACCTTCATTGAGAAAGTAATCTGCCATTGGCTCTTGATTAGTGCACTTAATCCAAATTTCCCGGAAATCATTGTCACCTGCATATAATTCCTTCAGACATTCAAACCCCACAACTTCTTGAGTCAGCGTGACTAATAATGAAGCTCTCCTACTCAGCGCATCTGCCACACGATTGGTCTTGCCGGAAGTATGCTTGATAACGAACGAAAATTTCTGCAAAAAAGTCATCCATCTAGCATGCATTTTATCAATATTTTTCTGGCTGTTAATATACTTCAACGCTTGATGATCTGTAAACAAAACAAATTCCTTCTGGATAAGATAGTGCTCCCATTGCTTCAAAGCTCGAACAACCGCATAGAACTCTTGGTCATAAGTACTCCACTTTTGACGTGCATCGCTCAACTTTTCAGAAAAGAACGCAATTGGCCGCTTGTCTTGTGAGAGCACAGCTCCGACTCCCACACCGCTGGCATCACATTCAACTTCGAAAACTTTCTCAAAGTTTGGAAGAGCTAGAACCGGTGCGGTGCAAAGCTTTTCTTTTATTTCTGCAAAGCTTCTTTCTTGCTCCTCTCCCCAGCTGAACCGGCCCTTCTTCAAACATTCTGTGATAGGTGCAGCAACGGTGCTAAAATGCTTCACAAATCTTCTGTAAAAGGTGGCCAAGCCATGGAAGCTTCGAACTTCAGAAACTGTCTTTGGAGCTGGCCAATCAAGGATTGCCTTGATCTTCTCGTCATCTACCTGGATACCATTCTCACCAACAACAAAACCCAAGAACAGTAGCTTATTTGTGCAGAAAGTACATTTTTTAAGGTTCACATACAACTTATTTTCTCTCAACACATCTAAAACTTGTCTCAAATGCACAAGATGTTCTTCTTTTGTGGTACTATAAATTAAAATGTCATCGAAATAAACAACGACAAAAGAACCAATGAATGGTCGAAGAACCTGATTCATGAGCCGCATGAAAGTGCTAGGTGCATTTGACAATCCGAATGGCATCACCAACCATTCAAATAATCCGTCCTTGCTCTTGAACGCTGTTTTCCATTCGTCTCCAGGTCGGATGCGAATCTGGTGGTATCCGCTTCGCAAATCTATCTTAGAAAACACCCTTGAGCCGCTAAGAACGTCCAGCATATCTTCTAACCGTGGAATGGGAAACCTGTACTTGACTGTTATCTTGTTGATTGCCCGGCTATCAACACACATTCGCCAAGTTTTGTCTTTCTTTGGAACCAGCAAAACAGGAACTGCGCAGGGACTCAAACTCTCCCTGATAAATCCTTTCCGCAGTAATTCTTCAATCTGTTCTCTCAGGATGTCATTCTCCTTGGGGCTCATCCGATAATGGGGCAGATTCGGAAGGCTAGCTCCAGGCACCAAGTCAATTCGGTGCTGTATGTCCCGCATAGGAGGCAGCTCGTTTGGCAGATTTTCAGAAAGTAGTTCCTGAAATTGATTCAAAATCTGCTGCACATCTTGTGGAATGTCACCTTCTCCTCCGCCAATTTTCAACAACCCCTTCAACACCAAGGGACAAAAACACTCCGCTTCTTTGACAGCCTCGTTCAACTCCTGCTCGCTGTGAATTAGGGTTAGAAAACTAGAACTCCTCGTCTTGGGCTCAACAGATTGCTTTGCGGGCTGTGTGGTTGCCATTGCAATTTTCCGGTTGTTCCAAGAGAACAGAATTACATTATCTCGTCCCTTGAAAGTTGCATCCACATCAAATTGCCAAGGTCGCCCTAACAAAATATGGCATGCATCCATGTCAATAACATCACATAATATTTCATCTCTGTAATGCTTACCAATTGACAGTGGCACTCGGCAAGTCTCAGCTACACGAACCGAAGGGCCTTTTTTAACCCAACCTAGTGAGTAAGGGCTGACATGAGGCTCCGTAGATAACTGCAAATACTCCACCAATTTCTTTGACACGAAATTCTCGCAACTTCCATTGTCGACGATCACATCACACACCTTGTTTTTAATTGAGCAGAGGGAACGAAAAATACTATGACGCTGCCCTTCCTCCTTTGGTGCCAAAAGAACTCTCTGCAAAACCAAGGTAATCTTCTCCATTCCTTCCTCAACTGCAAATTCAGCCCCTACATAATCATCTTTCCCGACTTCATCGTTTTCCTCATCTTCATCGGCTTCTTCGATAAAGTTGGCCTGCTTCCGTTCTGGACAAACATTAGAACGATGCCCTGGTTTTTGGCAACGGTAACATATGTCCGTCATGGGCTTAGCATACGGATTCTGGGACTGGTTTCGGGGCTGCCCTCTGTTGTAATTCCGGCTGCTACCTTCGTTGAAATTTTTGTTTTGGCCAACTATTGCTGGTTTTGTCGATCCTCCAAGATTCTGCTGCTGTGCTTTCCCCTTATCTCCTGAGCCACTAGAAGCACCAGCAGTATATTCAGAGGCTTCCGTCGTGTTCCTGCGGAAGTTGGGTTGGCGTTTCTCCTTCTCCAACAATTCAGCCTTCAATGCCATGTTAATCGCCTCCTGCAAAGTCCATATATTCTGCATACCAATTTTTTCCTGGATGGAAATCTTCAGCCCATTGTTGTACCTCGCGACCTTTTGGTTGTCAGTCTCGGTCAAATGGTTTCGCTCTGCCAAACGCATGAATTCTTCGGTATATTCAGAAACTGAACGGATGCCTTGCGCACAGCCTAGGTACATACGGTAGAGAATCTGCTCATAATCTGTGGGCAAGAATCGTTCCATCATAAGCGACTTCATCTTCCGCCATGTTCGAACCCGCTGCTTTCCTTGCCTCTGCCGTAAATTTTGCAATTGATCCCACCAAACAGCCGCTGTAGCTTTAAGACGGAAAGCTACCATCTTCACCATCTTATGCTCAGGAACCTCCATAATATCGAAAAACCTCTCCACTTCTACAAGCCAATCCAAGAAGTCTTCAATCTTCAGATTTCCCCAAAAGTTAGGAATTTCTGCTTTAATCCGATAGTCACCAAAATTCTCGTAATTACGATTACGATTACGAGGATTATTAGCCGGTGGTGGTGGTTCTTCAAGTTCTTCTTCTGACTCTGACTCACTATCCGGAATAAGTTGCCTCCTATTATCTCTTCTCTCGCCATCTCTACCTTCTCTTCGATTATTATCCCTGCCTTCTCTTCTTTCGTCATCCCTGCCTCCTCGCCTATGGTTGCCACCAAGAGCTTGCAACAACAATTCTCGCATCTCCCCAAATTGGGTGGTTAGGTTGTCGATCCGTTGGTTTTGAGCGTCCAGATCCGCTCGAGTAATTGGGGCTGGAACATCAGCTTCACGATCACCCATGATAAGACAAGAATACCAAGACGGGAGAGACCCGCTCTGATACCACTTGACGCAGCACAAGCAAATAAGGTTTCAAACGAAAACCTTGAGTAACAAGAAAAACAGAATTTATTTGGAATTAACTTCGAACTTCGAATGCAGTTTTGAAAGGCCAAACGACTCACCACGTCCCTTTTCTTGCTCAACCGCGATTAAATCTGCCATCTGTTCTACATCACAAGCCAAGGTATTGGAGGCTAGAGCAAAGTGATATGTTGACAAGAATATCACCACTGAAGAAGCTGTTTCCAAGGTCTAGTTTTCGTAACTGGAACAAATGACCAAGTTCTTGAGGGATGTTGCTGCTGAAGCTGTTGTTTTGGAGGTTTAGTGTCCTGAGAAAGCTCAAGTTTCCAATGTGGGGAGATAAGTGACCCTTCAGCTGTCTTGATTGGAGGTCAAGCACTGTGACTCTTGTGTTGATGGCCACAAACGATGCCTGGCCAATCACAGACAGTAGTGTAGGGACTAATTCATTCCAGGAGCTAAGAATGCCCAGGCTATCATTCATTTCAGCTTTAAAGGCAAGCAAGGAGATTATATCCACCTCATTTCCTCTTGGACTTGTGGAGGCAGAGCTAAGTAGAAAAAGTTGCATGAAAATTGACCATATGCTAATCAAGCTACCTAGGAACTCCATTTATTTAGTTCAGTTTCTTTAATATTTGTTCCCATTTCAACTTTTTGAAGTGTTGGGTTTTTCTTCTTTGGACTTCTGAGATGAAAAAGCAAACAGTTTCTGATTTTTTTTTAAAAGTAAATATTACTAGTGTTTGCATCACTGCAATTTGAACAGTGACGCAAATTGCAGAGCCTACACCGGGAAAGTTACCAAGTTGCAGCCAGCCACCACTAGGATAGTGAACCAAAATTGATGATGGGGTTGCTGACTTGCGCAATACGCAGTGTACAAGTTGTGGAAACTCAAATCACAGAGATATCAAGATCAAAATAGCACAAGTAAGAGAAGAAACCCATTACTTCATTCACTTTGTACATCCAATTCGTTGTTTATCCTGGACCATCACGCTAGTTGAACTTAACCTTTGATTTTGTTTTTCGGCAAATTTAGAATTTATGAAGAATAGACGTGGTTTGAAACCTAAACCAAACCAAACAATATCGGGCTCTCCCCTACTGGGAAAAGTCCAAAATTAGGGGTGCAAGTTGGCAAGTCCAAATCAATTCCAACATTTGAAAGTTCTGAAATCTAAAAATTCCGATAAAAATTGGATTGGAATTGGAATGTATCTAGAGATTTCGAAAATTCCAAATTCCGAAATATATTGGGGTTTCAAGCTAGAGGCTGGTCAGCCTTGCCCCCCATGTTAATCTCCTTTTAGCTAGAGGCTGACGTGCTCCTTTGGTTACGTCCTAGTTTGTGGCCCTCTAGTTTTTGTTACTTTCTTTTTTTTTTTCTTTTTTTTTAATGAAGAAAAGGAGGGGAAACCCCCAAACAACAACACAACAACTAACTAGTACTAATCATGCGAGCCTTAATAGCTCCCAAAGAATCATTAAGCAATACACAATCAAGCCAGACAGGACTCTCCTCATAATAGTAACAACCCAGGTCCAGATTGTGACTCCAAGTAGCCAACCCATCAGCTACATCATTCCTCCTCAAAATACTTTATGTTTTCTTTTTCTCTAGTATGTCTATGTTTTTTTCTGCTTGCTCATGGGCGGGTTTGTCCCCTAGGTTGCTATCTTTTTCTTTCCTTGTTTCTGTTCCTCCTTTAATGAAGTTTCCCTTTCGAAAAAAAAAAAAAAAAAAAAA